TTGTGTGCTGGTTTCTTGATTTTCTTCCCTAAAATGTAGAAAAACACTCAACAGAATGAATGAATGAAATAATAGAAAGAAGAAGAAGACAGAAATGGTGATGTGAGAAAAGTCCTTGCCTGGACATTGGGACTTGTAAGTCACACATACTCCCACACAGAGCACCAAACTATTCTCAGACTAGGTAGTCTGTCTGCCATTGGTTGAGCAATTTCAGTCGGCATTGTCCTCCTCTTAAGCTATCTTCCAACATTTTTTGTGGGGGGCACAGTGCCACCTGAGCTGACTGTGATTGGTTTAAAGAAATACAAACAAACCTGAGCATTTTGCCCCCTATACCAGAATGATAATGGATTCAGCCAGACCTGCTATCCATCTCTAAAACTGACAGCCCTTTTCATAAGGGTGGCTTGGTGCATCAGCCCAGAGAGAAGCCCAGAGAGGTCGAGAGAGCTCAAGATTGAATAAAGAGAGGGAGTGGCATTAGCAAGAACAAAGCAGTGAATCCAATAAACACAATGTTATTTTTTGATTGTTTCACAGCAGTTACGTTCTAAAGCAGTTGTCCTTTTCTATCATTTTGTAAACTAACAACCCTGGCTGAGTGAGATATGTTATGGATATTTAATATTATATTCAAAACTGTACAATGAACCCAAACAGTGAACTCAGTAACTGCAGGATGTTTGTGTAAAACGAGTGATTTGGATAAATTCTGAGAACATTTTTTTCCTGTTTAGAGAACTTTTTTATACAATTCTCTGTCTGTATTAGTTTTTAGTAGTGTTTATCATTTTTAACAATCATACAGACTTACAAACAAATGGTTTTGTCCAAGAAGCTTGGCCATCATTATATTAAACAATTTAATTTACTTGTCTTTACAGAAGTGAACCAGATACTGAGATACAGGCCTAACGTACTGTATATTTTTTCTAGCATGCTTTAAAATCAAGAAGCCCTCGTGACCACCCGTAAAGCTCCTAGTGGGGGTCCTGACCCCCAGGTTGGGAACCACTGTTCTAAAGCACAAATAATAATGGCCACCTTCTTCCCTGCAGTATGTAGACTTTTATTTAAGAATAGCTGCTAACTAAGCTCTGAACACATTTCATTTTTAATTCCCCAATTATTTTGTTATTCAAAAGCTTTTAATATGAAGTAGCAAACTCAGGAAATGTTGAGTTTTTATCAGCAGTAACTTAACATGACTCTTATACAGCTGAAAGCAAACATGAACCAGTTAAATAAAGCAGATATCTGAAAGTACAATGCAGGAGAGAAACTACAAAACCACAAAATTCAGTCGGAAGCTACAAAAGTACAGAGAGCTGAACACAGACTCTCAAAAATGTCTGTCTTTCTGCTATCCTGTACAGACATGGGTTAAGTCTAGGATGACACGGCTCGACACAACTCGCATGTTTAAACCGGTAATGGAAACACAAATCAGTGCGGCATAGTTTGATTTAGTGCGGGTTTAGGGTTAGTGCCAATGGAAAAGTGTGGCGATAAGTCTGGCTATGAGAGACTACTGAGTAGGAGACCTCTCACCTCACAAACATAAATGTCCTCTTTAAAGAGAGCTAGAAAAAGTGTGCAAGAGTTGGCTAGAAAATACAACTAAAAAGAAACTGAAACTTTATTTGGTCCTTATTTCTTTGAAGTCAAGGGACTCATATGTGACAGATTTCAGTCCAGTACATCCTGACTTTCATTCCCAAACAGGGCGGCTGTGGCTCAGAGGAAGAGCGGGTCGTCTTCTCTCGCTGCATGTCTCAGTGTCCTTGAGCAATACACTGAACCCCAACTTCATTCATACACAGCAATCCGTTATGGTGAGCAGTTGGCATAGAATAGAATATATTAAATAGATGTTTGATTACATAAAGCAATAAGTTATTGGAAACCCCAACGCAGCTGCAAATGTTAATTAATTTTATAATAGTATAACTGTTAAATGGTTCCACCCTGCTGGGGAAAACCAGTGATTATGAAGAACCATTAATAACGTCAATTATTGCTGCAGAGAAAGGTGTATAGAGGGTAACTCTTTAAACCACATTCACTTGCGTTCTATATCTGTGCTATTTTAGTTTGAACCTGAAGGGTAAACGGTCAAACATCCTGGAACGTCTAACCCTTTTAACATCTTATGAAAACACATTACTGTCCTTTTATAAAGATAAATATAGGGACAAATGGTTCAATCAGAATTTTGTTTCAAACAAAACAGGTTGGTCCGTTTTCTGTATTTATTTTCAAAACAAAAAACATGTTTTCATTTTTAGTTTTTTTATTTTTAAAAAAAGGAAGACGGGTCATATTTTCATTTTCTATTTTTTAATTTAAAATCAAAAAAAGGAAAACTTTTTCCAATTTTGGTATTTTCAAAATAAAGTCTGTTGCCCACAAAGTACACTGACCTATAAGCAACACTTCACTGATAAACACATACATCATTTCCTGTTTGCAAAGGCCAAATGCATTGTTGTTTTTAACCGGTGGTCCAATAGTAGTAGCCAACGCGCTGGGACAGATGGACACAATGTTATTTATGCAAAGAAAGAAATAACTCAATGTGTAACATTTGGCGAATTTACAAGAATACAAGTTCATCAGTTGAAACAGTGTGTCCACAAACATCTGCTGCTTATCTTGGCATGTAAAGGGGAGCCCAAACGTCAGTTGAGAAGGCGTTCCTTCAATATGGTGCAGGACACATTGTACACACTGCTAAAAGAATGCGGCCACCTCCAAATGTGGTTTGAGGGATTGGATCTCAGTGCCCCTCTAACCCTAACCCTAACCCAAACCCATGGTTAGGTAACCAAGTAACCATGGTTAAAAGGCTGTCAATACCCATTCTAGATGGATTCTGAATTAAACCAATACCTGTACAAGCATGCTTCATCAATGGTTTTGTATTGTTTTGAAAACCCATATATTTTTGGACATGGTAGAGACCAACTACAGTATTTGGCAAGACCAATGGAGTCCAAGATTGGATCACCCAAGACACCAACAGGGCCTTATAATTATGAAAAACTACATGTCTATTTACCTGGTGACATCTATGACACCAGTGAATACCACTGAATTATTCTGGGTAATACTGTTGGCCTATTTCATCACAGAGAATGCCTTCATTGTTCTCTGCCAAAAGAAAATGCAGCTCTCTCATGAATCCAATGTTGGGGACCAAACCCACACCCTTGATTTGAATGGAGCCAGTCTGTCAGCGCAACGGGGGTGCCAAGACAGGGCCATCAAACGGAATACTTGAACAAGACTTAACTTCTGAAGTAAAGTCATTGGGCAAAGCACTGCGTTGGCCATTTAAATAAGTACGTATTTTATGGTGGATTACTTTGTAATGCGAACGCTTTATTTCTTCTGTTCTGATCGCCATGACAAAAGATAAAATAGTTGCTGCCAGAGATATAAAATTCTGTCTCTGAGTATTATAAACCCCCATGCATTGTTTTGCCATCTGATAAGCCTTTAAATGCATTAATCTGTTACACCAGCTGGACTTCCTGGATCGTATTTCACCGTTTCACTGGTGCCTTAAACAACACTTCCCCTCCAATGGAGCTCCTTGTGCTAACTACAGGGCTGATTTCTGTCTGGAACTTCTGCTTAAGTTGAACTGATCATAACTCATGTCCAGAGAGGTCACGTACAGACAGTGCTTTGGGGTAACAAACCAAAAATGGTTATTATCATTACTTATTATGACTTTAGATGAGGCTAAATAAGTGGGGGCAGCGTACCTACTGTTAGAAGTATTTATTGCACTGTTTATGTGTATAATGCAAGTTTGAATTAAGGAAATTATGAATTGCTCAGCCTTTTATGGCAGCAACAGGTAGATAATTCACTGAATTTCTGTTTTTCTTCTTTTGACTGTCCTCATTCATCTCTTTTGACTCACCTTGCATGCAAAATTTGAGCTCTTTAGCGTCGGTGACGGTACTGGTGGGCATCCTGTCAGGAACCTTCTTGCTCATACGGTTGTAGTTCCTCCTCTTCTTCGACTCACCCCACAAGTTGGAGCCGCCATGCATGCTGGGAATGTTGAGCACGGCAATGCCTTCTAAGGAGGTGTTGCTGAGGTCCAAGATGATCCCGTCGCACTGAGAGGAAATTGAGACAGGAGACAGAGAGACAGAAAGAAGAAGGACAAAGAGAAAGACTGATTTCTTAAACATGTAAATGAGACATTCAGTTTTTGTAACTGGAGAAACCTGATTTCCCTAGCTGACCTTCCACGGTCAAATGTAAGTCAATCTCTTGGCCACTTATACAAATAAACAGGTTTCTCATTTTTAAGCATGTTAGTGCATGCATGTCAACGATTTTAGGCAGGCAAAGCATCTCACTATCGACAGCAGGCGTCATTAGACGTTCTGGCGACGCTGTCTCATATTCAAAATAATTCAAACAAAAGTGTGACTAAAACTAAGATGAACACAAAGGATAGTCACTTTGGTAACGGTCGAAAAACTCAAACACCATTACAAATAGACCGCGAATAAACAGTGTTATGAGTCGTGTATCTGATCCACCAAGCAGCGTCTCTCATTCATTTTTTTACAGGATCAAATTTATCTTTATGGATTATATTGATGCTGAATTGACAAGAACACTGTCAACATATGACGGCCTTTAGCTTTTGTTTCTAGGCTTACATGTTTTCACAGACACAAATTGTTAATATGCAATATTTCTTAAAGGCAGTTTGGCACAGGGAGCTTTGAGTTTATTTCAAACTGAAATATGTATAATTTTTAACATTTTAGTCAGCACTACAGAAACACTAGGTAACTACTAAAGTATGATGAAGTTAGCTGACGTTGACTGCTGTGATATAATAATGTTTGTATTGATTAGTGACAGGCTAATGATCAGCTAATTGTACTCAGTTTCTAACAGCAGTATGCTGTAAATGGTTGCTATTTGTGATTTTAAAATACTCCTATTTAAACATGATGTGCTTCTTATTAATGGTGTTAATAATGACCTCCTGGTAGATCCTACTGATCGGTCGTAGTGTGAAAACCACAGCCACTTCAATACTGCTGTATCATAGAGTAAAATAGCTGTCCATGCTCGTATCCACTTTGCGCACCAGTGATTTGTGCGAGGCTGCAAGATTTATTTGAGCCTGATGCATTACCTGGACAGAAGCCAAGTGTGGAGTTGTGTGAAGCAGCAAAACCGACAGCAATAAATTAGGTTGGCCCAATGTCAATACATACTGTCTGATACTAACAGACAGAAATATATATTATTTGGCACTCTTGGCCTAACTCTGAATTATAATGTGTCTAGCCTCATCTGGATTCATCAAATAATTCAAACACACCAGAGAATGTCAACAACACATTGTTGTGACTCAGCATGTACGGCTGAATCATGCTGAGTCAAAGAAGCCACAAAAGTGCTGGTCCTTTCAGCACGCCCACAACATGCAGGCAAACCATCACGTAATGTGTGTATGAGAAACTGCATAACACGTGAAATATGGTACATGCTTGCACACACAGACTAATGAGTGCAGACACAAGGCAACACAATTGTCTTTACATCACTTCTCTCTGTTATTAGAAATGAATTTTATGAAGTCATACAGTACTAGTAGGTATTTCTCAGAGCTTAATTTCAATTTAAATGTATTTATTAAAAAGTGTGAATGATTGCTAGCCTACATTAATAAGTGTCGATCAACTTAGATAAGTAAGATTTATAGTGGACAGTGTTTACACTGTGCAGTAGTCTGTACCTATAATCCAGTAAACCATTAACTAAGATCATTTTAATTTAACATCATAATTCATTGTGGGCCACTCACATTCATTCTTCTTTCAAATGTATGTGCGTTTGCACGTTTGCGTTTCATAACAACCTCTCTTTTGTGTAATTTTCAGAAAACACACTGGGCCTCATCATGAATGTTTTCTTATTTTTCTTATATATATGCTTTTGTACAAAGCAGTAAGAGGAAAATAAGAAAATCCTATGTGGGATTCATGAAACATCCAGTCCAGTCTGTTCTTACACACCTGACTATGTTGATGAATGGCGTTCGATCTTAAATTGGAATGTGCCCGCCAGAAAATTTGAAATTAGCGTATGAAAACGCCTAAATAAATCCATAAGGGTACCCGACCTAAGTGCCTTGTGCAAATCAACACACCACTGACCGGTGATGTTAAATCTAAGAAAAAGAAAAAAGAAGGGCAAACATCAGCAGACAGTGAGGAGTGGTGGCCTAAAGGTTCTAACGGCCAGATCAGACTGTGGTTGTACTGGGCAGCTTCCAGGTATGAATGTGTCTACCTTTGCCAATGTGATCACAGTGTTCCTGCAAAAGAGAGGCTTCCTCTCAGTGAACCTAATCCTCTTTAAGAAGTGTAAACATATAAAATTATTAAATGAATACCTGTATAACACTTTTCTTCTGTTGTACATTGTTTTTGTACATATGCAGCACACGCTTTTGTGCGTGTGGGCACAAAAAACTTTGATCTTACCTTAGAACAATCAGAAAGAATTGATGAATGCCACTTAAGTTCCTAAATTCTCCACAATTTAAGATCAAATCTGTGTGTATGAATGATTCATGCATTAGGACCCACTGTCTGGATTGGACCAATAAGATACCCAAATGTCCTCACACTCCTCCACTGGGGTATTTACCTAACAGGAAGTAGCCTCACTGCTTTCTGCTCTGTTTCCCTTGTCAAACGTGTAAAGTCCAGTCCTCCCTTGTTAAGGTCATAGTAATACAAGCCCAACAATTAATGCAGCTGCTTCACAGTCAAAGCTGTCAAACAACACCTGCTCTTCCCCTCTCTTTCTTCTCTATTTCTGCCTCCGGCCCTCTGCTCCCTAGTCTCTCTATCTGTCTGTGATTGTCTGCCATTTATTTTCTTAGGGGGAAGCATTGCCTGAGGAGA